AGAGAGAGAGAGAGAGAGAGAGAGAGAGAGAGAGAGAGAGAAAGAGAGAGAGAGAGAGAGAATGAGGATAGAAAGGGAGAATAAACGTTGTTGCGTTTTGCTGGAGAAACAACAACGAAAACAAAAAGGGGGACGTTGCAATAGTGTTTTGGATGAAAAGTTGTTTTTTTGAAGTCATATTATGGAGATTAGGATGCAACAAATACGAAGCTATTAATATGTCAGTGCTTTTAGAATAACACTTGAACATTGTCGTCAAAATTGCCATTGTCCCAACCACACTGCCTGCTTGTCTTGCCTACCACTTTGCCTACCACTATATCTGCCATATATACCTTCCTAGGCGTGAACATTTCTTGTAGCCAGCCCGCAGACATATTTTTCCTCCTGGACGACTCTCGAAGTATCTGGACCGTCTACTTCAAGAATATGATCACCTTTGTGAAGGAACTTGTGGGACAGTTTGATATCAGCACGACTAGCACTAGGATCGCCGCCTCCACCTTCAGCGAAGGGAACAAACCCCAATTTCAATTCGGAGATTACAATACACTGGCCGAGGTATGCTTATTATTAACTTCTCTTCACTTGTCCCCCGATGTAAGGCGTAAGTGAAGTATGATACTTACCGCAACAGTATTGTACTTTTTGCGGAAATTGAGTTAAGACATTTGTTTAAAAATTTATGAAAGAAAGAGCAATTTTTTTACAGAACTGATAAAACACAAACCGGTAATATCCTCTTCGCTCTTTTTCTCGTTCTTATCCTTATCGTCATGACCATAATAATACATAGGGTACGCTATTATATAATTTTCACCATCACTGCCGGAACAGCAAATAAATAACACTATCACTACTAACAACAGCACCAATGATGATGGTGATGATGATTTTTTCTTTCCTTAATGGGCCTGGTGGACTCTGCAAAGAAATCTTCGAGCTAGAGTGATGCTCTTTTTCGGCTCCATTGTCAATATGCTTAGAGGCACCTCCACTCGTTCAAATAACTCCATTCGAATTGCCATTGTTCCTGGACATTCAAACATATGTTTGACATCCTCCCTTTCATGGCCGCGTCTTCGGCAACGTGGGCCGAGCTCTTCATTTATAGAAAAGGTACTCAAAGTGGCAAGCCGTCCCCTTCACGATGGGGAGTACCGTTATCAACGAAGACAGCCACAACCAATGGGGAAGCTTTGATGATGATGATGATTATGACGATGATGATGAGCTATTAAACAAATTTAAACATTTTATTTTGTTGTTTTATTTTTGTCTAAAATTAAAACAAGACTCTCCCTCCTACCCTGCTTACCAAAAAATGATGATGATGATGATGATGATGATGATGATGATGATGATGATGATGATGAT